GCGCACAGCCAGTAGCGGTTGGGGCTGAAGCACAGCGCGTTGATGACGTCGCCGCCGTCCAGCGTGTACAGGTGCTTGCCCTCGTTCAGGTCCCACAGCATGGCCTGCCCGTCCTGGGGACACGCACAGCTGGGGACCCCCGGGGACACCCGGGACCCCCGGGACAGCTGGGGACCCCCGGGGACACCAGGGACCCCCAGGGACACCAGGGACCCCTGGGGACACCCGGGGACACCAGGGACCCCCCGGGACACCAGGGACCCCCGGGGACAGCTGGGGACCCCCAGGGACAGCTGGGGACCCCCTGGGACACCAGGGACCCCCAGGGACACCAGGGACCCCTGGGGACACCCGGGGACACCAGGGACCCCCCGGGGACAGCGGGGACCCCCGGGGACACCAGGGACCCCCGGGGACAGCTGGGGACACCAGGGACCCCCGGGGACACCAGGGACCCCCAGGGACACCAGGGACCCCTGGGGACACCAGACACCCCCAGGGACAGCTGGGGACCCCCGGGGACACCCCCGGGAGGGGACACCAGACACCCCCCAGGTACCACAAGAGTTCAGGGGGGGACAGCAGGACACGCCCAGGAGACACAGAGTCCACCCAGGCTGTCCCCTGGTGTCCCCAGCCATCCCAGGCTGTCCCCAGCTGTCCCAGGTGTCCCCAGGGTGTCCCCAAGCTAGCCCAATGTGTCCCCACGTGTCCCCAGCTGTCCCCAGGTGTCCTCATCTGTCCCCATCTGACCCCACCTGTCCCCAGACTATTCCAATGTGTCCCCATCTGTCCCCATCTGTCCCCATGCTGTCCCAGGCTATCCCCACACTGTCCCCATGCTGTCCCAGCTGTCCCACGCTCTCCCCAGGTGTCCCCACGCTGTCCCAGGCTGTCCCCACACTGTCCCCATCTGTCCCCAGCTGTCCCCACTGTCCCCAGCCCCACCTTGCCCCCCGAGGCGCAGAGCGAGCCGTCGGGTGACACGGTGACCGTGTTCAGGTAGCCCGTGTGCCCGATGTGGTTCGTCTTCAGCTTGCAGTTGGCCAGGTTCCACACCTGGGGGGACACGGGGGACAGGGGGGTCACAAGGGGAAGATCTGGGGTCACAGGGGGCAGATTCGGGGTCCCAGGGGGCAGACTGGGAGTCCCAGGGTCAGATCCGGGGGTCACAGGGGCAGATTTGGGGTCACAGGGGGCAGATCCGGAGTCCTAGGGTCAGATCCGGGGGTCACAGGGGCAGATTTGGGGTCAGACTTGGGGTCCCACAGGCAGATTGGGGGTCCCGGGGTCAGATTTGGGGTCAGATGCAGGGGTCCCGGGGTCAGATGCGGGGGTCCCAGGGGCAGATTGAGGGTCCTGGGGTCAGACCCAGGGTCAGATTTGGGGTCCCAGGGTCAGATTCGGGGGTCAGACCCGGGGGCAGATCCGGGGGTCCCAGGGTCAGATTTGGGGTCCCGGGGTCAG